GAGGTGCTGTTTGGCACAATGTTATTGCATTGCTTGCTCTGGGTTCACTTGTCTATATGTGAATGCAGTGTGCCTACTAAATGAAAGCAAGTGATTTCTGAAGGTTCCAAGACAGTGTAGATCTGGTTTTTAGTCTTTTGTCTTGTGGGCCTGGAAATGGAACTTAAGGTCTCCAGTGTGCTAGGCTCTACCACCAGGCTTTGTCCCTGCTTTGTCTTTTTTTTTTTTTTTTTTTTTTTTTTTTTTTTTTTTGAGATGGGTTTTCTCTGTATAATAGTTTTGGTTGTGTCTTGGAACTCACTTTGTACACCAGGCTGGCCTTGAACTCACTGAGATCCTCCTAACTCTACTTCCCAAGTTTTGGGATTAATGGCACGTGCCACCACTACCTAGCTTCCCTGATGTTTTCTAAGGCTTGTAGTTATGTCTAGTTTATCAACATGTTGTCATATTTAAAGATAATCATTCTTTGTTCTTCTCTGCTTTTCGCTACATTTTGGTTTCCAGAGGGGTCTGTTTAGTGTTGGAGTATTCCTGAGATCTGTGTTTCAGGCTGAAGAAAAGCTGGTTTCAGAGTCAGACACACCCTTTCACTTGTTGGGGTGCACAGTGTTCCTGTCTCTGTCAGGAAAGCCATTCAGGAAGCACCCAGGCTATACATCTCACATATTCACTTGGTCCTGATTGCTGAGAGACAGTGGCCTCTGAGGTGATACTAGCTGAGGGAGTGCTGCAAGGTGCTGTGGCATATCTATGCAGAGAGACATTATGTATGCTGACTGGCCAGTCTGGAATACATAATGGCAGCCATGTGTCTAATGCCTTGTGCTGTTGATGAATGGTTGGTATACTCAGTGTTCCCAATATCACCCCAACACCTGGTAGAGTTTAACCCCCTCCTAAGCCCCAGGGAACCCATTGCTGCATTTCTGTTGAATCAAACAAACACTTGGAAAATATCAAAGAAAGACAGGAGGAGCTGTCAGTGTTTCAAGCATGGCAGGACAATTACCATTCCCCCGCTGACTAGCAGCCAATCCAGGTGACAAATGAAGAAATGGAAATGACCTCATGGATCTTAAAATACACCCATCTTCTCTTCAAGAACATAATTTGCCATTGTTGTCTGTGTCACTGAACCAAGGAAAAACTAGTGTTTCAGGACTGAACCTAATGCTACAGTTGCCCCAAAAGTGGCAGAAGGGAAATTTCTATGAGAGGGTGCCCCAAAGCAGGCTGTGGTGAGGCCAGTTGGGATGTTAAGAGAAGAAGCACCAAGGGTGAGGCTAGCTAACCCTGGGCTTAGGGGACTTTGCATATTGTGGAACAGTATGCCTTGAGTCAGGGAGGAAAGAAGACCTATGTATGTCTATAAAGAGGGGTTTAGGGTATGGAGTCAACAGAAGGTTCAAGGAAAGTTGGCTGGTCACAGAAGTCTACTATAGGTGGGGCTAGTTTATGTGGATTTAGCAATAGTGTTTGACCTAAACAAGTTGGTCAATGTTGAGAAATATTCATGGTCCTAGATTATGTTCAAGCTTGTGGAAAGTGGAAAACATGTGCCTCCAAGTCACTGATGCTTGTTTGCTCCCAGCCTCTGTACTTCCAGTCAAACAAGAGAAAACCATGGAAGAATGAAGGCCCCTGGATCTTTGGCAAGTAGGGAACATATCTTAGAGCCTGCAGTACAAATCTTACCACACTTGCAGAGGCTGGGACTTTTCATCCTTATGGGAAGAACTGTGGCCCATGGATAAGCCTACTTCTCAGTATGTCTCATCCCTTAGATCCTCCTAGTCACTGTCAGTCCCTAGAGCCTAGCAGCCTCCTTTTTAAATGAAAGTTCTGGTCCAAGTGCCTGCTCATCTTTCTCACTATGGTTCTTCCTCTCTTTTTTTTTTTAAATACATAAATAAAAGCAAAAATGAACACAAAGTATAAAATCAAAGAACGTGTGAATTGGTGGGCTTCCTCTGAGGGTGATTTCAGGGATCAAGTTCAGCCTCTATGGGAAATCTAGAATGGTCAGTAGGAAGCTAGAGGCTTGAGTGTTACAAGCTGTACCAGAGAAGTGGGAAAACACAGCTTCTCTGAAGCTGTCAGAAACTTGTCTTCAGACTTGGATAGTGTACTGCCTGACTTTGGGGCCTGATTAATTCAGGTGTGATGCTGACTTAAGTATGAATGTACATGGAACTGAATGCCTCCTGCTTTCTGTTTAGGAAAGACCACAGCTCTCTATGACAGACTAGCTTGATTCACCCTTCCTAAACGGTCTCCTAGTGGTCATTAGGAGTGATAGTGAGTGGAACTATTCCCATTTCCACTCCTTGATTCCTGGACCCATGGATCCTTGCATTGTAGCAACTGTACCATATATTGGATGCTGAGTCAAAGCATATACAGCCTTCTGAAGAACCTGTCCCAGCTACTTCTGCCTTATAGGTACTGCAACTGTGTTATACCACCCTTGAGTCAAGCCAGCCTCTTTGGGAGATGGGGTGGGAGGGTTGCCATGGTAAGACCAGTGATTGCATGAATGTGGACCTACTGCCAGACTTCTCTGGTTGGAAAGTGAGTTAATCAGAATCGGTGTCAATTCAGAACCAGTATCCAATAGACTCCAGAAAGTATGATTGTCTTTTCCCACAGTGTATGTTACTCTTATAAAAGGCCTTGGGTCCCTCTGTGGAAAGATAGAAAGACTAACAGTAAACCTCTCAGGTATTTTAGCAAACCCCCTCCTCAGGGGGACCTGGCCTTCCCTTCATCCAAAGAGTTCTTGGTCTGCAAACTGGGGCTGAGACATGGTGTAGCTGCAATCCATTGTAACCTTTCTTTATTTGTTTATTTTCCTGCTTATACAAATCAAACAAAATGCAGTAGGCCTCATACCTGTTTAATTCCTGGAAACACCATGATTGATTAGCCAGTACCAAAGGTGCTTAACCATAAAAATAGCTGTCTGTGCTACCACAAGTCAGGCCATTGTGGATGTGTTGCCCACTATGATACCTACACTCACTGTGCCTCTGTGGGATTGGTGCTATCACCTGCTTCACTTGCACTAGGGCCCAGTTAAAACCAATGCATTCATTCAGCTGAGCAACCCTAAGGTCTGGCACCAGGAAAAGAGCAAGAACAAAGCTCTTTAAATGTGCTGGTGCTCCTCTCATGGTTGTGTTGTAGCACCACTAAAGGGCATGTTTTCTGTGCCTTCCCATCATGAAGAATTTGGCTTTACATGTGTACCCACTCTAACACTGCAGTTTCTCAGAATCTTAAAGTCCCTTTATCAACACTTAGCCAAGGGATACTGGTCTCCTTTTTAGTTGACCTTCTTTTGACAAATGCCAGCCAACTGACCAAACAGACTTCGATGCCTTTCTTAAATTGTGGGAGCTTCTGTGTTAAACCTAGATTCTTCACTCGGTAGGCCCATGTCAAAAACCTCGGCTGGCTCGAGTTTTATGCCTTCCACCATTACCCCATCCTTAAGTCCATCCCTACACATAGTCCCCAGACTTCTGCTAGAAACACTCAACAAACTTAAGCTCTTTAGTAGGATAACACACCTCTTCACTAATTACACTTTCTTGTAGGAAAGAGCCTGCTTAGCTTTAAATCTGGTTCTAAGTACCAAGGCAACTATTGGTGGGCCCTAAGGACATCAGTGTTATGCTACCTGGAATATCCTTCAGGGAAGCTAGTCACTGCTGATTCCTTTAGTCCTCTGAGACAAAGGTAGCAAAGGCTCTCTCTACTGCAGGGTCTGGGTGGGTGAGGATGCTAAGGATGGAGAGGTAAGCCATTCTAATTCTGAGGGTTCTAAGTCCTCAGCCTCAGTAGGATCCATCCACACCTGCATCCCAAGTTTCAGGTTCCCATTCTTTACCAGTCAGTCAGTGCCCTTTAACTGCCAGCACCCTTTGAGGTTGGGACTTGGAATTCCTTTGTAACTCAGACAACTTTACAAGGGTTTCCATCCGATTTTCTTCCACTTGAGCTCTGTGGCTGCTGAAGAGAAGCTCCAGGGCTCACTTAGAAACCAGTAGACTTTGTCAGTTTATCCAGAGATGCTAGAGGCAACCAGCCTTATTTTTCCACAAATTAACAAAAGTTTGTGTAATGTCACTACAACTTAGTGTCCAATTATACTTGTTCCTTGGAGTAAGTGAATCAGAACAATCAGATGCATTTATCTTGATAAGTTGCTTAAAAAGTTCACATCATGGATTTATAGTGTTCTCCATGCCACTGGGAGGGTCTTCAGTAACTGTAGCTATGGGTGAATTGGAAAACCTGATCCATATCTTAAAATGTTATCCTTAAAATTCCATTTCTCTAGATCTACTTCTGGTGCCACAGTCTTTATTAGTCAGGGTTCTTTACAGGAACAAAATTGATTGGATGAAAATATATATATTAAAATACTATATTATTATAAACTATGTTTAAAAGGGATTTATTATAGCGGTTTACAATCCAACAGAAAGTCCAAGAGTCAGTAGTTGTTCAGTTTACAGGATCTCAGCATTTGCAGTCTGGTGCTAGAGTCCCAGAGTTTCCTAAGAGCTCCTGGACTTCAGTCTATGTGGGATTTCCAGAGAAGTAAATTCTAACACCAGCAGAGGAATGCCTTAACAACAGGATGGATGGACCAGCAAAAATGAGAACAAGCAGGCAAAAGGCAAGAGCTCCCTTCCTCCCTGTCCTTTCAGGTGGGCCACCACCAGAAGGTATGGCCTAGATTTGGTGTTGGTCTTCCCATATCAACTAATCCAGTATGATGATCCTGTACCGATCAATGTGCCGGCATTTTAGGTGTCATTTCATTCCAGATGTAGTCAAATTGACAGCCAAGATTACCAGTCACGTAATTGCAGCTGAAACAGGTTAAAACAGCAGAAAGATGAGCACATTTCCCAGAAAACAAGATTGTGAGTGTGCTGTAACCAGAATCTGCCTGGTCCTAATTATTGAGTTCTATGTCTTTTCAGGAAGAAACAGGGGTGGTCCCACCCTTGGCAGTGTGCCTATAGTGGCAGAACGTGGAAGCCGTGAAGGACCCATCCAGAGGATGCCACGCCAGCCCAGTGCCACTAGGCTGCCCAAGGCAGGACCTGGGAAAAGTAACACCCGGAGCAGCACATAGACCAGAATAGAGGCTGCACTTAACTTCCCAGTGGAGAAGGTGATGTCGGCTCTGCACTTCAGCTTTCCTGAGAAGCTGAGCATCTCTCTCTGCCACTTTTGTATTCTATTAAAGCACAGATTTAGACTGAGTTCTGTGTGCAGTTCTGGTTTTTGCTGCAGACAAACTAACCAAGGAGATATAACCATGACTTTTGCTTTTTTGGATCTTTTTGGGGACTAAGAAAATATGTATATTGATTTTTTTTTTAATAAACAAGCCAGCAGGCTTTCCATCCATCACAGTGCTGGTAGGCAGGGGTACCAACCAGTATCACCCAGTGAACCGAGGCCAGTTATGAATGGGCTGTCACTGTCTTGAACAGTAACACCACTTTACCCCCAAATCTTCCCCTTTCACATTTAACCCAGTTTTAGGTATTTTGTGGACATTCCCTACAAAGATCTGTTTTAAATCCTCCATTCTTTTCTTCTTAAGTTGATATAGGTGCTCACTACTATATAACTCATGCTGGTCTATGAGTATCCTCTGGCATCTGCATCCTGAGTTCTGGGACTGAGCTCCGTGTACACTCTATATACCACCATGCCTGACCAGACTCTTATTGCTAAGCTTTTTCCCTTTGATTAGAATGCCTCATCAGTGTAGAAGCAATTAAACATGTGTGCTGCAGAGGCCCAAGCTTCCGCTGTGACTGTGATGTTGCTGAGCTTGAAGGGGCTCGGCCTCCCATGGGATTGTGATGCTGCTGAGCACACACATACATGCACATAGTGTCCTGCACTTTGGCCTGGTCTCCCCAAGGCCATAGGTGAAAAAGGGCTAGTAGTCACCTGCTTGAAAAGGGAAGAAAGTACCCCACATTGATTAAATTAAGTCCAGACATAGTGGTACCCTCCTAAGGCCCCCTTCTGTCCACACTCTGGAGAAAGCATTATTTTCATCACCACCCCACAACCTCCTGTGACTGCTGTGACTACCATGGGACAAGCACGTGATCCACTCTGTGTCGAGGGCAAGCACTGTTAGATTGAGAATCAGGAAATCAGAGGTGTCAGCAGCAGTACAGCGGGTCAAATGGAGCAGGGATTTGCAAGAGTATCTCAAAGGGTAAGATACCACAATTCCAAGTTTGGCAGCCACTTTGTCACAACTAATTCTGTCCTGAAGAAACACCATTTCTACATAATTGGTTGTGGTTGTGTTGAAAATAAACCTTATCTGTGTGAAGTTAGGCAGCTGACTGAAGGCCTGGAGGAAGATAATCCCAAAGAATTGCTAGGTAAAAATGTATTGCAAAGCCAGCCAGGTATGGTGGCATAGACCTCTGATTGTGGTATGTGGGAAGCAGAGGAAGTAGTCACAATTTCTAACCAAGGGCTTTACAGTGAGACCCAGTCTTAAAATGAACAGGCCCGGTGGTGGTAGCACATGCCCTTAATCCCAGCACTTGGGAGGCAGAGGCAGGCTGATCTCTGTGAGTTCAAGGACGGTCTGGTTTACAGAGTGAGTTCCAGGACAGTAGAGCTACACAAGGAAACCCGGTTTCAAAAATGAAAACAAACACAAAAGAATATATAACAAAAAACAGGCACGGAGGAGCACACCTGCAGTACTCAGAAGACAGAAGCAGAATGGACAAGAGTCCAAGGTAGTCTCTGAGTACATAGAGTTCAAGACCAACCTGATTGATATGGGATGCCATCCTTGAAAACCTCAAGTGTGGTAAGAGGACATCGACACTAAGCCTGTAATCCCAGCTCCTCATGTTTGGTGATTCCCATCCATAAAATTACTTTATTGCTACTTGATAACTGTAATCTTACTACTGTTATGAATTGTAATGTAAATATCTGATATATAACCCTGTGAAAGGGTTGTCTGGCTGTTACAGGGGGTGCAACCCATTAATTGAGAACCTCTGACTTAGGTTGATGCAAGAGGATCCTGAGTACTCAAGGCAGTTGCATTACAGAGCCAACACTCTAACTCAAGAAAGAACCATTTCAGTGAAATGAGCAGAAATGATGAGTATTAAACTACACAAGGCAGAGTAGAAAACAAAGCACAGGGCCCACACTTCTAACACACAAAGAAGCAACAGGACTCGGTGATCAACTACTGCAGAAAGCTGAGAAATGACAGAAAAGTTTCTAACGTGCATTAAGTCAGAATCAATTTTGTATAGAATTCCCAGGGTGACACACACACAAAGATGTCATTTTAAGCACAATAAAATTCATTATAGTTTATTTTAAATCAGATACCCTATGTGACATTTAAATACAAGTTGATATCCTCATACTTACAGAATGATATGAAAATGGCCTATTAAATGTTAACATACACACACACACACACACATATATACATATATACACACACACATATATAATATACCAATCAAAAATGGTTGCTGTGAAGCCCAAATTAGCCTTGAATTCACAGTGGTGATACTCCTGAGGATTTCTATGCAGATAACTGTTGTTGGGTAAGATGCACATACTCCTGCAAACCTGAATTACACTCAGTGGGCACGTGGTATGAAGGAAGAAGGGAGAAAGTTGGAGAGAGGAGGGGGATTATAGGAGAGGGAGAAGGCTATAAGAAGATAACATGGGGTAAAAATGATCTAATTGTGTCATGTATAATGTAACATAGGAAAAATAAACTGCCATAAAAATGGTTAAGCAAGAAAAGAGTAACTACACACACAAAATTGACAAATGACAGTAATCAGTACACACCTATTAATAACCCTGGATATAAATATTCTCAGTTCCCCAATCAAAACAGACCAGTACATTGGAGCCCCTCCAGAAAAATTGTTGCCTTCAAGGAAAGCATCTCACCATGAAACTTAGATACTTCCTGTATTAGTCATGGTTCTGTGTGTGTGTGTGTGTTTTGGGTGTGTGTGTGTGTTAACTGTATTAGTCATGGTTCTCTAATTGAATGTGTGTGTGAATGTGTGTGTGTGTGTGTGTTTTTTTTTTTTTTTTTTTTTTTTTTTGTGTGTGTGTGTGTGTGTGTGTGAGTTGTTAGAGTGGCTTAACAGGCTTTGGTCTGACTATTTCAACAAAGCCTGTCTCCTGATGAAAAGTCCAATAATCGAGTAGTTGTTCAGTCTTAGCTGGTCTTCAGTATATGCTGGAATCCTGAAGTAGGCTCTAATGTGAAAGAATGGAATTTAGAGCAAGAGTAAGGATAAGTAGGTTTGCAAGAACTTCCTCCTTCCATATAGGCTGCTACCAGGAGGTATGGTTAGGGTGGGTCTTCCCACTTCAAAAGATTCAATCAGAAAACCCTCTCAGGTATAGCCAGCCTCTTGGGCTTTCCTTAATTCTAGATGTAGTCAAGTTGACAACCAACAACCATCACACTTACCTCAGGGAGGAAGGGTGGGGGAGAGCATTCCAAACAAAAGGACATAGGAAACATGCATCTATGACTGTTTTAATATTTGACAAAATAGCTTTTTAAAGCTAATTTTAAAAGACAAGGACACTTTATAATAGTGAAGAGAACATCCGTCAAGAGAACATTATTATTCTATACACATTCCCTGCACACAAGTGTGGGAAGCCACAGCCCCAAGATGGCGCCTGGCTGGATGCCAGGTAGTCAGAGCTTAGCTGTAAACAAGCCTTATTTGGAAGTGCTTGATGGATCTGGTGTTCTTCCTCCTTCTGTGGCCTATCCGGGATTGCCAGGTGGCATGAGCTGATTGGGCAGTGAGCGCACATTTAAGGGCTTGCTGGGGCTGGGGGAAGCAGAAGCTGATGTACAAGGTTCCTGAATAAACTGCTTGAAGAAGAGTCGTGGTCGTGTTTCCTTGCTGGCTGAGGTAGACACTACACACAAGTACACCCAATTTTATAAAAGGAATACTACTAGATTAATCTTTGTAAAGACACAGATTAATCCCAATACAGTAGTAGTGACTCATCAATGAACAAGTTTTCTGGACAAAATAAACATCTGAATTAAATAATATCATATATCAAATAAGCTTAAAATATCTATAAAACATCCCATTTGAATACTGCAGAATATACTTTTCTTCTCAGTAGACGATAGAACTGTTTCTAAAGTAATTTACAGAATTGGATACAAAAGAAGCCTTAACAAATATAAAAAAATTGGAAAAAGAATATTTTTAAATATTAAATATTTTAAATATTAAAAAAAAATTAAAAAGTCTTGTCACTGTTTATTTCACTGTGAAGAGACACCATGACTAAGACAATTCATACAAGAAAACATTTAATTAAGGGCATGCTTACAGTTTTAGAGGCTTAGTGTATTGCCATCATGGCAGGGACTATGGTGGCATATAGGCTGAAGAAGTAGGTAGCTGAGAGTTGTACATTCTGGTGCAAAGGCAGCAGGGAGTGCAACTGGGCCTTGCATGGGCTTTTGAAACCTCAAAGCCTGGGCCTCTCCTGCCAGGGAAACAGGTAGGCTGACACCAGAGCCTCAGCTTTCCCTCCATTCTGACAAGTCCAATCCCCCAGTCTCCTCCCCAGCTGTGCAGCAGACCTTCTGCTGTGCCCTCTCCTATCTCCCGGACCCCATTCCCAGGAGAGTAACTAAGCAGATCCTGATGGAACACTTAGCTTTCTATCCTCTTGGAAAGCACCAGTCCACTTCTATTCCTAAGTCTCAGGTCCCAATACCCAGAAATACATTTTACCTGGAACTCCCAACGGCCACACCTGTCAAACCCCAGATTGTCCTACAGGAAACACAGCCACCACACTCTCCTAAGAAACAGAGAGGGAGGGAAAAGATTTTCACTAATCCTATATCCGACAAAGGGCTGATCTCCAAAATATACAAAGAACTCAAGAAACTAGTCAACAAAACACCAAATAACCCTATTAAAAATGGGGTACAGAACTGAAGAAAGAATTCTCAATGGAGGAAATAAAAAAGGCTGAAAGACACTTAAGAAAATGCTCCACATCCTTAGCTATCAGGGAAATGCAAATCAAAACAACTTTGAGATACCATCTTACCCCTGCCAGAATGGCTAAAATTAGAAACACCAGTGATGACTTATGTTGGAGAGGATGTGGAGAAAGTGGAACACTCCTCCACTGCTGGTGGGAGTGCAAACTCATACAG